TGTATTTTATGACTTTCTAATATTAAAAAAAAAACTTTTTAAAACAACTACTTTATGAAAAAATCCTTTAAATGCTTCACAGTAAAGGTAAAAAACTTTTCAAGCGTCCAATTTCAATATGCAATGTATTGATACTTATATATTTCCTACGCACAAAGTGTTTTGAAAATGAAAAATGCATAGAAACTACAGAACCATAGATTTTGTGGTACACCGTTCAAATCTTTAATCTCCCGCACGTTGAAGAAAATAAAATTTTTAACAATTTCGATCATTGAGCCGAAACTAATAGAATTAAAAAAAAAAACAATGAGACATATATTATTTAAATGTGTTTATATTAGGTTTAAGGAGAAGTGTAATTTTTTTTTTTACTCTATACTTTGATTGTGTACCATTTTATTTAAACCAAATTTTTTTTAACACACAAAAATTGTATATTTCAAATAGAAAATCATTTTAGTTGCAAATTTAATTTTCGTTTTAAAGATAGGTACAATTACAGAAAAAAATTAACAAAAAAATGCCACAACGAAATTTTTCATGCAAACAAAAAAAAAACTTTCAGTAAAATCCTAGCCTGTTAGCTGGTTATCTGACACATAGCAAGCTGCTTTTCAAGTCCGTGCAAGTAGGCCTAATAACAAATAAAAATGAATAAATAAATTTTCGGACGTATCTCCGCATGCATTTTTTGCCAAAGACTATGTAAGCATTTTTGTGGTATAAATTACATGACTACAAGCGTCTTTCCCCTCAAATATATCTCTCGCACTTTTGCTGATATATATTAAAAAATAAAACTAAAAAAAATAGCTCTCCGAACCAGAGAAACGTGTACAATGATGTAAGTGAAAAATGGTCAAAATTGGTCGTAGAATGGAAAGGGTTAAGATACTAAAGTCGAAACAAACAAAAAATATAATTAAATAACCGTGCCACGGTATTAAGAGTTTGTAAGTGCAAAAATAAAATAAAACTTGACACTCGTTGACGAGAATACTAAAAAGAAAGTAATGAACGCATTACTACTCAAGAGATATTTAGCGATAAAAGCTGTATGAATTGTATTTTTTTCCGATACCAATGTAAAATTGAAAAAAAACCTGATTCGACTCATTGGCACAACTTATCGCATACGTATTTTATATACGCTATCATGCAATTATTGCAAGTAAATAGCGTTTAACCGATTAAAAGTATCAATCAGTTTGAATAAAAAAGTTATTATTGAAAATACGCTCAAAAAAAAAAATTGTTGGTTACTTCAGTTTGATCGTCAGATTTAAAAAGCACAATTCTGTTGGTTTTTTTGTGGCTTTTTTCATTTTTTATCGATAAAATTTGTGAGTAAATATAAAAAAATTTCAGAGATGTAAACTATTTTTTAGCAAAGAACAAATTTTATTTTAATGTATTTATTTATTTTCTTTTTTCAGTAAGTACATGGGTGCATTTTACGTAATTTATAAATATTTATTCTAAAGTAACACCATAGCATCATAGCGAAATTAGTAAATACCAGATGGCTCATACAATATTTTTAAATAAAACTACAAAAAAATAATTCGTATTTTTCAAACGAAAATCAAAGTATTTTAAAAAAACGTATGTCAATCTTTATAAATTTCGCTTAAAAAATTTACTGAGTATAGTAAATGTCCTTTTTGCTTAAAACTCAGCTTTAAAATCAAAGTTGTTTTCAATGAACCATGTATTTTTCTAAAAAAACTTAAGTAGCATTTATTTGTGAAACAATAAATTCTACTCTCGTAAAAAAAATCTTATTTGTGGAACATAAATTTATCAAACTAAAATGTATTTCACTAGTAACACAAATCAGCTTACTTTTGAAATAATCTTTTTCATGCTAATAGTGGCACTTGCTAAAAACTAAGAATCCTTTTTACGCAGACACTAAGAATTGAAACAAAAAGAGAAAAAAGAAGGTATAGATCAAAAAATAAATAAATAAATAAAAACATTGATCGAACTGAGGTGACTAAAAAAATAAAAATTGAATAAAACGGAAACAGCAAAAAAATGTGGAAACCTTTCTGATGGCCTCTAGAAACCCTTGTATGATTTTTATTTAAAATTCTTAATACTTCTGTGGAGCCAGCTGTGATACTTCACCAATATACTCTTACACATAAATTGTTTCTTCACAATACGTACAGCATCGTACCAATTTATAGATTTATATAGTCGAATGAGAAATGAAAACAGGAGATAGATTCTACCGGGAGTATAACAAAAAATCTTATAGAGCTGAGTTTCGAAAAATGATGTGTGTATCCTTGTGTAATGATTATAAAAATCATAAGGTTAGCCCAAGTATACGATTCCTTGCAAACAAAAAAAAAATCCATGCATTCTCCACAATGTAATCAAGTATATATAATAATTGGTATGCAATTGGAATGTAGAGAATGAAAAATCACAGAGAATTGCCTTAAATAATTGATGCATTGACAATTTTACTTTTGAAGCGTAACAGCGTTTGAAAAAAATTTCTGTATTTTTTAAATTTGTAAAAGATATTTAGGGGTGCAGTTATTATTTTTAATATTTAGTTGCGTTATCTATTTTGCGTCCTAAAAAAAAAAAAAAAAAA